CCGTGCTCTCTTCGCACGTTCCGGGCAAGGCTGGAAGAAGCGGCACGGCGGTCAAACCATGACATAAGCTAGAGGTATGAAGAAGCTGGCTTCAGTTTTGGCTTCGGTTGTTGCAACCCGCCTTCCAGGTTGGAGCCCAATGGATGAGGATTATCGTTGGTTAGAGACACCGAGAAATATAGCCCGGAATAGAAGTCAATGGCGCGAATGTTGTACGGTCTGCCTGTCGAAATCCCGGGCTCCGTAAAAACCACACAGAAAAAAAGAATTTTTTTCCACTTATTCTTAATCTCCTACTCTCTTGCCCCTAAACTCTGTACCCCAACCCCACCCTCTCAATATTGTTATTGTTAATATTGTTATGGCGTTGGCATCAAGCTTGTTCTCAAGCCGGTGTTGAATATATATATATATATGTAAATATATATATACTGTCTGTCTTCCATAACCACTTACTGAGCAACATCACCCTTGTATGGTGGAGGCATCGTATGAATAATGATGAGATCAGACGATAGTCTTCCACTGAGTCACATTATTTCATCGAATCGTCTGAGTTAGCTGAGACATCCTACAAATCCCTGAAAACATCTGCCCGACCGTAAGCCATTTGCAAATCTCAATTCGGACTGGAAGGAACAGTGCACACAGTGCACAGTGTGAAAAGATTGTGAACGGATCTGGCTTTCATCGACTCTCCTCGGCTGAGGTCACAAAGATGTAGGTTGTCGTTGGCTGAATATACTGTGGGATATGGCATCGAACCCAAGTCAGTGACATGAATGTATTCTTACTTATCCGCAATCTGAAAAGGAAATCGACAAAAAATTGTCAAAATGGCGTGCAGTAAATAAACAAAAGAATGATATTATTACCCACCCAGAAGGGATTATTATTTTTTGATTTGTTAATTGTTCCGCTCCCATGTTCTTCTTTTAGCCCATGGTTATTTTGGAACCTTATTTGTAACTATTTGTGGTATATATAGTTATTATGAAATATTTTGTAAAGACGATCAAGTCACGTTTGCTGCGGTTATTAGAATCTAACCTACCTAAAAAACATAGAATCATAGCATTGATTCTTCAATGGACTGTCTCTGAAAGAGTTGTCTATCCAATGGTCATCCAGTGTTGCAAACAAGGTTATTGTGACAAAAATACACTTCCCGGGCCCAGGTATATGAATGAACTGACAAAATATTTCCGGATACACATGCCTGACGAGCGGAAACAACCGCGAAACCGGTCGTGTGCTTCCAGGGAAATTTTGTCCAGTCATTCACATACTACTTATTATGAATTATATATATATGTAAATCATAAAAATTGATTTTTGAACATGACAGACATTGTATGTTCATTTTGTCAATGTTTTATGTGGTTTCCTTTATCAATATGCGCTTGTGTCACTTAGTTGGGGAGATTAAGTCTGAAATAAAAGCCCCTTTACCCACTAATATCAATATGCAGGTAAGATAGTGTAAGATATTACATTGGAAATAATGTGGAATGATTTTAGCTCGACATGTGGAAGATTTTGTTAGTATGTTCTTCTAAGGAACCAAAGGGATCACTGGTAACCCAACGCTCCCAGCTGAAACCGACCTAGAACCAGTTCTGACCAGTTTGAAACCATTCAAATCGGTTTACAATTGGTTCAAGAAAACCAATCGACCATTGAGGAAAGAGGGGGCATCAACGACGCAACCAATCAAATCCCGGCAAATGGTCACAACTGATCAATAAGATTGAAGGGGCGCAAACGGTTAATCCAGCTCTCGAACAGAACTATATAAACGAGTTCACACTGAGGACTGGCGCTTCTCCGAAGTTGCACGGATGATGTTCCTTAGCCTGGCTACGATACGTGTGCGAACAACACTCCCAGCTCGAAGAACACGCACCCAACAACATTTTTGTATGATTGTTGAAACATCCCTGTCGTTCATTGAAAAGACCATTGAGGCAAATAATTCTTCTTGATCAAGCAAACTGGACCTTGTTCATTATTATACGATACCAGGGGCGAACACAGAACCGCTCTTCCGCCCTTCGGATGGATCTGACTAAACAACTGAGGCAGTGGCTATTCGGATTCACCACCACTACCACGAACTGTGTTGCAAACAAAAGCGGATCACACACACATACTGACATTACCATGATCCGAGGCAATGACATGTTCAATGGTTGTTAAGACAGTCAAATTATGACTGAATATTTGTGTTACGTAATCAGTTAAATCAAGTAATTACAACTGTGAATGTTCCATAGTTGCACTTAATGTAGAGAAATCGAAATAAAATTATCTATTGTATAAATGAGCTTACCAGGTGCAAACCGTTCGTATTGTGATGGAAGGCAGCACAAAAAGAGTCCTGGTTAGCGACCGAATCAAGAATGGAGGTCATCCGACCAGAAACGCAGACGCAGCGGCGGGAAGTGCCTCGCGAGGCAATGTTGACTGCCACCCAAAATGAGCGAATCGACAATTACAGCCCGACAGACAATCCGAAGCTAACGAGAAAGATACCCACNAGACGCAGCGGCGGGAAGTGCCTCGCGAGACAATGTTGACTGCCACCCGAAACGAGCAAATCGACAATTACAGTCCGACAGGCAATCCGCAGCTAACGGGAAAGATACCCATCGAATGCCACAACGTCGGAGCTGTCGATCAACGCACCTCGCGCCGCGGTCGGATCAAACCAGTCGAAATGGCACGCGGAAGAAGAGGCAACGTACGTTCCAAGTGAGGACCAAAACCAACAAGGAATGACCCACAGAAAGAGATATGAATCATACCGCCACGCGGTTGAGAATTTACTGTATATAGTCGAACGCATACACTGTTTGCTTTTGGGATTGGATCAATGGACTTTTTTTTCCCAGTCAGCTCGCCTTCTCGCTACAGTATGTTGTGACTGGTTTGTACAATACAATATTGAACCTCATTTAGCCATGAGAACGTAACTAGGCAAGAACGTCTCAGACTGCTTATCTTAACTGCTAGGGCAACAATGGCACAAATGTCGTTAGTTGTTATCACTAATGAGATCTGTCTTTGAAGTACCACATGAATACAGTCCACGCTTTCCACGATCCCAAACTATTGTGATTCTAATTACGTTCTGTTTATGTAAACGTACGATCGACATGAGCTCCTCTTCCTCAGCCCCCAACAATAATACGGGAGAGGGAGAACACAACTAGAAAATAACGATCATAGTGTGTATTCTACGATTATGGTGCGATATGCAAATAAATATAAGTGGGTCAATGGAGCGTTCGGGTGACGCATCATTCAGAGGTCGTTCTTGACACTCGGATTGGTCGATCGGACGACAGCGATCTGATTCGTTCTATGATTATCCAATCCGAAATCTATTGGCCTTGTGCTTCACGATCACACTTGTGATGTCCGTACCGATCCGCACGCTGCTTCACAAATCCTGTGAGCTCTGTCCTAACAAGTCTCGTACAGGAATCCTCCCAGTGTCTCAAACTCACCTCAGGACAATCGTGGGAACTCCCTTCGTCAGATGAACCACAAGGATTAAAATGGTTTTCCTCTCACCGGTTATAGGAAAACCTTCTCCTGTGCTATCGTGTAGAAAACCTCGCTGATATAAGATATTCAGGGAGAGAACATGCATTTAAGGTGGCTTATTGAGGTCCTCCTAATTCACCAAAGGCTGTTCGTTAATAACAATAACCAAACAGCCGTGTCAATAACAGTTTCTTTTTAATCGATTGCTTTGTTACCAAAACCGATTTGTCAAAGGGCTTCAACTACGATAGCCCCGGGCATTATTTCAGTCCCACAGCTGAAGATGACCATTTGGATGACCTCACAATTCAAAATGATGGTGAACCTTGGTTCAATCCCAAATCCTCATGGGCCTCACCCCTATTTTCATCCACCCAACGCCCATTTCTGTTTGCGAACTACCTACATCTATTTACTCATAAGTAGTCAAATGTGAAAAATGAAATTCAACTTTCTTCCCGTTATATTTTTATCATCAGGTTTTTATCCGTAAGCTGACCCAGGAGTTACTGGACTATCGCTTACCAATTACACAACAATCACATCCACGTCTAATGCAAATTGAAGAAGCTTGTCGTCGTGAATTTCCACAGTTCACTTCTCGTCAGATTCGTTTAAAGATTCGAGCCCAACTGAAATTGCATCGTCGAACTGTGAAAAAAGCGAAGGACAGCAATCCGTTTGGTTCTGGCTACAAACCTCTATCAAACAAACCCAGACCAATTCTACCATGGGGTGCTCCGCCAGATTGTCCTCCGGTTACCGAAATTGTCTCGACTCCATATGATCGAGATTTTGTGCAGAACACACGTACCCGAATGCATGAGGAAAATCAAGAGAATCGANCTAGGTGTTTCAGCAGCAGCAGCAGGAGCAACAGCCGCGTCGGTGACCCAACTCCAAAGTTCACTGCTGGATCAACAACGGAACTATCAAGGCTTACCGGAACAAAGAAAATCCAACCAACAGAACAACAGTATTGTACAGCATTCATTTGATGGACAAAACAATGCTCCGGTTACAGATGGGGAGCTTGCCAAAATTCCTGAAGTGGTTCCGTTCATGACGTACCTCCCCGAGTTTGCAAACAAAATAGGAAGTACAACCACACCGAATGAGACCAATGGGGTAAGTTAAATAATACAAATTTTGTTTGACTTCATCAATTAATTTGATTTTCTTTTTCTGGTACATCAATCTGGACAATGCTCTTTCAAAGATGTCATCATCGAACGAAGAGCTAACACGAGAGCTTGCGGTGCGGCGGCCGTGAGCGTCTGTTTCTTCAGTTTTATAGATGTTTTACACAACGCGAGTCACAATTCTCACTGTTTTAATTCCCAGTCCCATTTCAGTTCAATTCAATTCCGTTTTTACAACCCTTAACCGTGCACTCTTGTGCACCTCTTTTAGTTGGTATCTTTTGCCTGTCTATTTGAATAAAATAGCAAAAGATTGGAATGTGGAGAACAGAGTCAAAGTGAAGATGAAGAGTTCACGAAGACTGGGATTCAGGAATAATGAATAGGTGCACGACTGCCAATGTTTGCGGTACAGTCATATAACTCAGTTTCTCTAATCACCGGATTTGACGAAGAGTGAAGATGTTGTCAGTTCAGCCTCGAACAGGTCTAAAACCAGTCTGGTTCTGACGTGTGCACCATTCACGTGCGGCAGACAATTGACGAAATATGATACCGACGAGAGGTTTAGAAATGATCTTGATTAAACTAATTCCTTTGTGGTTTTCACAATAGGACCTATTGCCCTTCTTGTAAATCGGTATGATCACCGATTCACACCATTCAGTTGGATCCTTCTCCCGTTCCCATATTGAGACCAGAAGTTTCGTTAACTCCAAAACCAAGGCTGAACTTCCGTCCTTAAACACCGATGGGAACAGCCCATCGGGACCGGAAGCCTTTCGAGATAATTTACTTATTGAGTAACCTTCATCTCAGATGGAAAACTAATGTAAACTGGCGGTATTTGTACAGTTGAACCGGGTCTAGAGAGGTCTTATACTCACGAGGGCCAGCTGAACTGAGCCCTAAAATGTCCTGTCCATCGATCTAGATAGGTTGACGCAGCGCGCGCAGTTTGCCGAGGAAGGTAGTGAGTGGAAGAAGACCAAGGATGTTCAAACGAATGTCTGGAATGAAGGTATGAAAACCCTGACCAGGAGTCTGGGTCACTTTCAACTTCTCCTGTCTTTCTCCTTATGTTCATCCAAATGGACAGCCCTAATGACAGTAATCAAAACCGGTGCATGATAGTGCATCGGTAATGATTGTACAAACTGAAACAGAAACTGAAACGGTTCACCACCGTTGCAGGTTTCAGATCGTTCATATATATATATATATATATATATATATATATTGAATGGAAAACGCAGTTTAACGAGGAAGCTTTTTTTTCGGTAACTCATCAACTGGCTGATGAGTCACCAATATGACAGAGAACTTGACATTATATGACACATTCGAACACGGTCTAATCTCTTCGGATTCCGTTTTCCGTCCGATCATTACCGGTGGCCTCTCCGGGTCTTCCGTGACCACATCATTGACATCCGAAGTCGACAAATCAATTTCATTCACAGCGACACCAACGATCCCCAGGATTTTTGCATTTCTCTACACATTTCCACTTTTCGCCCACAAGGAGATCCCTTTTCCTAATTTGTTAAGTGTTTTAATTTCATACTCACATGATCGCTGAGTAAATGCAAAACACTGATTTGACATTACCTTTTGTCTGTTTGTTGTGTTTTATGTCAAATATCAAATTAAACTAAAAAGATCGCAGATTGTTTTCCTGCTTTGTGTGACCATAGTGTGTATATGTATTCGGCTTGTGGATAAGCATAGTGCTAACAACACAAAATAAGGTCGTAGTAGTCTCAATCGTTGAACCGGTTCGTTCACAGGTGAAGCTGGTCAGTACGAGCACACACACACTCACACTATATATATGTCAATATATAGTTCAAGAGAGAATGGAGGTGTACACCGAGTTGTAAAACGTTTATTGTAACGTTTCGATCTAAATTAAGACTTGTTGTCAAACGTAAATGAAATGAATGAGATAATAGGATTGCTGTCTTTCCGTGCTTCTGTGTGCTGTTTGTGTGTCTATCAGTCCACCAATCGTCATGGGTTTAGCGAGTGTGACGTAATGCTGGTCTATCTCGACGTATCGGTTGAACGAATTAACCGAGTACAGAGCTTCGAGGATTAATCATGACTCCCTCTTCTTAGCTCTCGCCACAACTTTCGCGTTATCGATTGCGATCTCGTGACCTGTACGTGTGCAGTGATTCCAGATTTGTGACCTCGGGTCAGCGCGTCGGAAGACAAGCTTGTGATCGTGCAGGCGAGTGTATGGTTGTTTCCCTATCTCACCGGTGTAGTGTTGGTTACAGTCCAGGCACGGGATTGCGTAGATAACTCCTGGTCGTTTGTTCTGTTCGACTCGATCCTTGACGTTGAAAAGAGACGATCGCACGGTTACTGCCGGTTTATGGGCAATCTTGATGCCGAACAGTTGGAGCATTCGTTCAGTGGCTTCTGACGTGCCGCGTATGTATGGTAGCGTTCTCCAAGTTTCTTTTTTTGTATGTGTTGTTTGTTTCTTACCTCTGAGGCACGCTTTGATAAAACTCCTGGGATATGCGTTTGATAGGAACAATTGAAAGAGTGGACTACTTTCTCTTGTCTTTAACTCTGGTATGCTACAGTGTATGTTTGCTCGGCGGAATAAAGTTCGCACACATAATAGGTGGCACAAAAGGTGATTGCTATTGTAGTTGAGGATGCGGTCCATCGTGGTCGGTTTTCGGTAGACCGTGGTTTGGATTCCTCTCTCCGGTTGCCTCATGATATATATATATATATATGTCTGAATCCAGACTGTGCCAAACAAGTCATGGTATAATAGTCCGTATGAAAAAGGAAAGCGTTCCATGATTTGCATGTGGGCGGAATACTGTTAGGTTGCTCAGGCCAAGGCAGTTGAATTCTTCAGGAATCCACAACCGGAATCTTCGGCTAGCCAAAGTCCCAGCCGCAAGACAACAGAGCGTTGTGTAAAAGCTGCAAACCATTGGGGACCGGTGTCCATATAATTAATTCATACGCCCTTTGTACTTAGTCAATGGTCCAAGGTGCCCAATACACCTCGATGCCCAATCGAGCCGGTGACTGCTGTAACAACCAGGAGGATGTGGAAAAGTGCTGTTCTTATGCACCTTCTTGGTTATTTTGGAATCATGTTCTTAGCCAATTCCTCTAGATGAACTACTGGTGGTTCACCGACCCGGAATTTGGTCTATCATAAACTCACTTTGGTGGGCAAACACCTCCGCAACACGAGAAGGCGGTGAGTAGGACTTCCTCAACAGAGGCTATTTGAGACGCCTGGTCGTATAGAAGCATTTCTCCAGGAGCGAAGGAAACCACAACCCAAGACGTCCATCCGCGACCATGCTTAGACTTTCGGAGGTATAGTTTAACAAATAATTAAACTATTTGATGTGATAAATTCTTATTCCAAGAGTGAAATAGCATCGTATCAATATTGTTTGGTACGACGGAAGCCAGGAAATCGAAGCATTTTAATTTTACAAATTTACTATGAACATCTCGCTTAATTCTGCAGCCAGGTGAAAAGAAGACTCAGTCTCCTCCCCCGGGGATGGGGTATTTCACTGAATAAATACCTTCCTATCGATCTTCATATTTTTCAGGCAAACGATTCCGTTGTTCCCCCCGCAGTGAATTTTGGTCTATTTACACCTTTTGGTTGGAATGCCTTGACAAACTTCAACAATTTGTGTCGTAATGTGGAACTGTCCTCTGGGCCTGAGGAGACAAAACCGGATCAATCGATCAGCACGCCAATTCCATCCCTGGGTTTCCCATTCACATCCGGTGAATCACAATCCTCTACAAACGAATTGGATTTCGGCGTGCTGCTTCAACTGATCTCTCAGTTCAGTACAAATCTGAAAGGCAACTCATCAAATGATTGTGTCAACAACCTAGTCAATCAAACTTCCAGTGTGAGTTGTTCAAGCCCCGAGTTGACTAAGGATTATGTGCGAGTTGGTTGTCTACAAAATCTTTTGTGGGGAAGTTTCTATTCTTTTTATTGTGTTATATAGTTACGTATATATAAGTCAATCCGATTACAAATATCTGATTGGTTGAACACACTGCTCAGTTTAAAGCAATGATAGGGGGTCACTTAGCTGAGGCACCGAATGTACCCACGATAGTGTTGGTCCATGCCAGAGACATCGAGGGGGTCCGAATACAAAGGAATGTACTGAGAGAAAGGTTGATGAATTTTGCGAGCTAAGGTAAGAGAGGAATGCGTAAGAAGCTCCGAAAGCTATTTGAAATGAATAGCATATTATTTAAACAGGAAATGGAAAATGTGATCACCCCTTACGATTATACTGGATGATGCACGACAGGAGCGAACACAGAAGGGTCAAATTCAAATTCAAAGTTTTTATATGGGAATAACTTACAAGCTCATGCTTCTCTTGTTCCCATAGGATATTTACACAGATGAATCATTACGCGCCGAAAAATAAGTCACATGGAGTTCCGGGTAGGAGATAATAGAGAATGTAGGCTACAGTAAATTTGCGTTTACTTTTAGTGGTGTACAAATGTGAGGTGTGTCAAGGTTTCATCGAGTCTCTGCTTGAAAGATTCAATAGTGGGTATACAAACGACATGAGATGGAAGGATGTTTCAAGAACTGCATGCTCTGACTGCAAAAGACTGGCACCGGCATTCCAGTGGACACTTTGGAATCAGAAGCTTGAAACGGTGTCCCCTTAGGTGTACATTGTTCGATAACATGCGCAGTGATCGACAGGGATGGTTTGGGTTCTACAGTATTTGATACGTCAAAAGCAAGTCCCCTTGAGTTCGGCGGTACTGAGCAGAATATAGTCCGAATGATCGTAATCTCTCCTCATATGTCAGGTAATGTAATCCCTTGACCATCTTGGTAGCCATTCTTTGTGGACGCTCAAGCATCTTGCGATCACGTTGAAGCCATAGACTCCAAGCTTGGATGGCGTACTCTGTGTAGGGTCGAATGTACGCTGATAGCAATGTGGGAATAGTGATGATTCAAACCGGTCAAAGACTTGCCGAGGTAATCCAACCTTCTCCACAGCAGCGGACGAAGCCTCAGCACCATTAATGGAGCAACTCATATCCTCTTGAACAACAATACCTAAGTCCTTTTCACTAGAAGTGTGTGGTAGCTGATGATCCCCTAGGAAATACGAAAATTTCCTCTTCTGGTGTAGGGATAGGACTTTGCATTTAGAAACATTAAATTCAATATCGTTCTCCTTAGACCATTGTTAAGCTGCGTTGAGTGATTCCTGAAGTGTTAGAGAGCCCTCAGTTTCTGTTACTGTGTTCCAGGTTTTGGCGTTGTCTGCAAACAGCATTGTTTTTGGGTCTAACACTTTCGGTAGATGATTTATGAATGCGAGGAACAGACGGGGACGGAATACGAACAAGCTTGTGTGGCAAAATGAATCACANGGCGTTCGAGATTTCGCGTTTGATTGGATTAAAGCATTCCTCGAACAACGGACCATATCAGTTCGTGTTTCTGATTCCACATCCGGATCTATCAAAGCCACCCGCGGTGTTCCACAAGGGTTCGTACTGGATCCCCGCATGGAAGAAGCTTCGCTTCATGTGAAATTCACCGTTTGGTATAAACAGTTTAAAAAGTATTTAATACCGTTTCACATTCAGCACGCTGAACAAAATGAGTAGATCTGTTCTTGTTACTGATTTTTTCAATCACACCAGATAGCCACTTGTTGCAAGTGGAGTTATTATTATTGCAGGCATTCATACAATGATGTCTTGCTCGTATATGTAATGTATTATATTTTCATACACGCCTGAGCTCATGCTAGGTGTCAACAAATCACGGTAAAATAATCGTGATAAAAAGTTAAAAACAATCCATGATTTATTCGAGGGTATGATAATTTTCGATTGCCTAGACCATAGTAGGTAAACCTTTTTAGGCAGTTCACAAATGGAACCTTCATTTGGCTAAATTCTGATCCGAAAGGTATTGAGGCGGTGTGTGAAAACTGAAATCCATTGTGGGCCGGTGTCTAGTTCATCGGATCATACGCTCTTCGGACGGAGTCAAATGTCCAAGGCATCCAATACACCTCGATGTACAATCGAGCTGGTGACCACTGCCATGACCAGGAAGGTGTGTGCGATTGCGGTTCGTACGCTTCTTCTTCGTTGGTTTGTTATCACAGATTTTAGCCAATTCTTCCGGATAAAATGCCAGTGGTCCATCGACACGGTTGTAACCCCGGATATTAACCTTTTGAAGATTAATCCATTGTCGCCTAATGACTACCGGTTATCGGGCCCTAGGAGAATAGGCGTAAGTGAGGTAATTAAGGAATCCG